GGTAATTTGTTTAATCATACACAGAGTGATTAATTCTACGTTTTCTGTATCAGTTAAAATAGAAGAATGTCAGTCTTCATGGTTTCGATAATTCCACAAACTGAAACATCATTTTTTCTCTTATAACTGGTACATTGAAATTCACAACACAATACATGTGTTACATTCGATTTAAATGACAGATAGTAAATGATGTCTACATAAAATTTGTTTTAAAGATGTTAAGAGTATTTGGAGTTTGACAACACCTTAACCAGTAACACATTTTACAATCAAACTATGTCAACCCGGTGAAATCAGAAGTCAGAAGCGAAAAGGTTCGAAGATACTTTATGAAACGCTATCGTTATATCGAGAAGTGACTAATCTGAGGCGTCTAGCGGTTGTAGAAGATGTATCGCACGGTGTACCCACTCGTGATCTGGTGCAGGTGCGTGATTGAGCACCCTCAACTAGATGAGTCCAGTAAAACTAATGTGGTCAGCATCAAATGTCGAAGACGTGCAGTTCTATTGATTTCGGGGATTTATTTATCTCTACACTTTCAAATAAAGACTACTTTTTTAAATCTAATTATGAACTACAGTATAGTAGTTTTGAAATTTCAGCTTCATGGATATACCGTCGTCATTGATGAACAATTAACAGAGAATACTTCATAAGTGTTGTCAAGATAATGAAGACTTTTATAAATACCTCACAAAACACTGAACAAGCGATTGAAATAGTGTTTTGTAAAATACTGTTAAATGAAGCATTAAAAACTATCATCAATACAGTTCACATTTTATTGTCCATTCATTAATAGTGATGTATTATATTTTGGAATTTTATGTCAGATATTATGAATGATTTTTGTTAGAGAGTTTATTGTAGAACTATGGTGAGTGTGATTTCATGATATTGTCTTAAAAGAAATTGTTTATTGCTGAATAATAAATATCTGTCAGTGATTGTTTATTGAATTTATGATTGTATCTATGTAATATTTGCTCAATTGTAGAGTCATGATATATGCTGTATAACGATTTCAGAGTTTCATGACCATGTGTTATAACTGCGTATGTGATTGCTGGTATAAAGTGTATGCTATCACATATGACGGCTGTCTCGTCCTACTATGGGGCCGTTCAGCTGTACTCGTATACAAACAGGGATGGGAGTGGGAATCGAACACATGACTTTCTGTCGTGTGCGCAAACTCTTGAGCTCTAGCTTACTGAGTTGGCTTTCAATAGTGTGCAAGTATAACGTGAATCAATCTACAACACTGCGTTATCATCTTTCATTGTTTTTAGTGGGTTACTGCCTCACAGTCAACACAGTTAAGCTCCACTAATCATGGTTTCTCATTAGAATACTGGTCTAGATTTCACGGAAATTTGACTTTCACACTCATAAGTTATTCTTTGAAGTAAGCTTAACTTCAGTACTTTATCTCTGAAGTTATTGATGAATTCAAATATTCATATACATTTCTTGAAGGGACATTTCAAATATCATTCTGAGTTTGTCCTGTCTTTATCATGAAAACAAGTTTTTCGAATGCATACATTTATGTTAATGTACTCTTAAGTGACTTTGTAAAACTGGAGGTGTGCTTTTATTCACTTAATATTTTGACTGAATTAGTTTCTGTTCGAGTTAATTTAATGCGTATAGTTCAATAGTCATTTCGGATTGGCAACATAAAACACGTTGTCACAAACTATATGTGATTGGTCATTGATTCATATATTGATATGCTCACATTATCCATCCTCTTGAAGCGTAAACATGCTTTGCAACGTTTTAAATGGCACACTTCGCTACACTTCAGCAATTACTACTGCATGATAAAATACTTGGAAGTGTATCACATGTTTTAACTTATATGTATGATTAATTATCCTACTCCAATAGGTTTTGCGTTATGTAGCAGGCAATTAATGGTGACTAGTCAATGTTATTTATTGAACTTTCAGAACATCGCTTTATGACAGTGACGTATGGTGATAAGGGGTGGAATCCAGGGTGATGGTTTCGTCCCAGTTAGGAATTGTCAGCTGGATGAGACTTATCTATTGCAGCCCTCAACATTAATAGAAACATCTAAACAACCAATATATATGTGAATTATCTCATTGTTAACTTAAATCATTTGTTAATAGATGACGCTTATCAGCGTTTTCATTAATCTTTTTACAGGAAGAATTTCTGCGGACGACTAAGTGGAACTCTCAAATGCTTTTTAGATGGAATGGATCCAACTATTGGCGGCAAAGGTCACTCATGTATAGGTTAGGATAAAAAACAAAATGCACGATGAATTTAAATTTCTGGTGTTAGATAATTTTAAGATAATATAGTCATTGAAATGATTAACTCAGTGAAATGATGAGCAACAGTGATCAACATAATGTGATTATTCAGATTATTTGAATTCAGTAAGAATAAACCATAGAAACATGTTACCGAGTACGAAATGTGCAGTGAGTACACTCACTATACCAGTCAACAAAGCTTAAAGTATCAGGGTTCTTGATCTGAAATTTCAACGGCAGTTAACATGAATTTTCTTTAGTGCACATGTAAAAATTGCAATATTTAGGCGATTTTCCTAGAAGTCCAATAGTTTTGAGTGAACGCTAGAATAAGAAATCATTCGTAAACCATGGTAGACAAAGGAGAACAATTTCATTGGAAGCAATCACTGTTCTCATTCAGTATGTACCTATTTATTAAAAACCTACTCCGCATGTGAATTACACGTACTACTGTGATATGAGCTGTCATGATGCATTTAATTATTCATTTGTAATTCAATGCTGTAGGGTAACAACGAGATGCTTTCTGATGAAAATATAATGAAAATTTAGAAAGGTCAGAAATGTGAATGAATAGTTGACTGTAAGACGTAACTAAACTAACACATGTTTATACCTAATAAAGTGCACTATGTAGCTTGGTATATGTTCTA